AGGTAATCTGCCCACCTCAGCCTCCCAAAATGCTAAGATTACAGGTGTGATCCACGGCACTAGGTCTGTTTGTTTTTTAAGTATTTTGTAAAAACAGTAGACGAACTGTAGAGCTCTGAAGCTAGAAATGCTATACTGTCACTCCATTCTAAACACAAAGGAAAATTTATTTTACTTAAAAAGTTATAAACAGAAAAAATCATGGTGGAATCTTATACAAAGTTATTAAAAGGAAGCCAGGAGTGGTGGCTCATGACTGTAATCCCGCACTTTGGGAGGCTGAGGTGGGTGGATCACCTGAGAAGAGGAGTTTGAGGCCAGTCTGACCAACATGGTGAAACCTTGTCTCTATTAAAAATATAAAATTAACCAGGATTACAGTGGTGCACGCCTGTAATTCCAGCTACCTCAAAGGCTGAAGCAGGAGAATTGCTTGAACCCAGGAGGCAGAGGTTGCAGTGAGCTGAGATTGTGCCATTGTACTCCGGCCTGGACAACAAGAGTGAAGCTCCATCTCAAAAAAAAAAGAAAAAAGAACCAGGTGCAGTGGCTCCCACCTGCAATCCCAGCTACTTAGGAGGATCGCTTGAGCCTAGGAGGTCAAGGCTGGAGTGAGCTAAGATTATGCCACTGCACTCCAACCTGGGTGACAGAGCAGAACCACATTTCCCAACACCAGAAAAAGAGAGAGATCACACACATAGTGAGAGAGAGACAAAAAACCATTAAAAAATAGGGTTAGGTCAAATAAAAATGACGCAATCTCATGATTACAAATTAACTTTTTTCTATTCCCTGTAACTCCCAGCAAAATGCTGGCACATTATTAAACAAATTAGTTCAATTTGTTAAAAAATATGGGCAAAACCTTAAACAGATTTTTCACACACACAGACACAAACATATAGCCAAATAGCATATGATAAATTGTTTATAAGGAAAATGTAAATTAAAACCACAATGAGATTTCACTTCCTGTTGGATGCAATGGCTAAAATAAAAAATTCTTGTAATACCAAATATTGGCAGGGGTGTGGTGTAACTGGAGCACCCATATATTTTTTATTAGAAGTGTTAAACGGCACAACTACTTCGGAAAACAATATAACAGTTTCCTATAAAGTTAAGCCTATACTAACCTCACCACATGATCTAGCTGTTCTATTCCTAGATATTTGCTCAAGAGAAACAAAAAGATATGCTCAAGAATAGACTTGTATGCATATAGTCGTAGCTTCATTCATAATGGTCTCAAATTGGAAACAGATATATCCATTAACAGATAAATAGATAAGCAAGTGACAGTAGATTTACTCAATGGGGCACTACTCATCAACAAAAATTGATGTATTACTGATATCGACAACATCATGGCACACATCTCCAAAACATGCTAAACAAAAGAAGTCAGACACCAAACAGTACATACTGCATGGCTGCATTTAAATAAATTTCTGTAGCTAAAACCAATATGTAGCGATCAGTAACTGCCTGATAGAGGGGATTTACAAAGGGGCATAAAGATATTTTCTGAAGTGACAGAAATTTTTCTGTATCTTCATTGGGGTGCTGCTTACATGGGTTTATACTTTGTCAAGTCTTTAACTATATACTTAAAATATGTTATTTTTATGGTATATAAACTATACCTCAAGAAAGTTTATTTAAAAGATATATATACACACACACACACACACACACACACACACACATATATATTATTTTTTTGAGATGGAGTTTCACTCTTGTTTCCCAGGCTGGAGTGCAATGGTGTGATCTTGGCTCACTGCAACCTCTGCCTCCTGGGTTCAAGTGATTCTCCTGCCTCAGCTTCCCTAGTAGCTGGGATTACAGGCACTTGCCACCACGCCCAGGTGATTTTTTATATTTTTAGACAGGGTTTCACTATTTTGGCCAGGCTGGTCTCAAACTCCTGACCTCAGGCAATCCACCTGCCTACGCCTCCCAAAGTGCTGGGATTATAGGCATGAGCCACCACACCAGGCTGAAATATATATATTTTTAGATCTGTCCACTGAAGAGGCCTAGCAACAGTGACCAGTTGTTGCCAATGGGTAGGCCTAGCACCCAGATTGTGACTCCTTGGAGAAACAACTAATTCCAATTGGAATCATTGTACATTTCTGTATAAAAATGAGCCTACCACACTCTGTCATGCTATAAAGCAAGGCAGCTCTCAAAGACTACTAGGGTCATGTTAAAAAGACTCAGATGCCATACTTGGTAGGCTTCCACTGGTCAAAGATGAAACAAATTTAACATCAATAATAACTTAAAATTCTCAGATATGTTTAAATCTGTAAGTTCACTAAGAAAACCCCATCGCCGGGCACGGTGGCTCAAGCCTGTAATCCCAGCACTTTGGGAGGCCGAGGCGGGTGGATCACAAGGTCGAGAGATTGAGACCATCCTGGTCAACATGGTGAAACCCCGTCTCTACTAAAAATACAAAAAATTAGCTGGGCACGGTGGCACGTGCCTGTAATCTCAGCTACTCAGGAGGCTGAGGCAGGAGAATTGCCTGAACTCAGGAGGCGGAGGTTGCGGTGAGCCGAGATTGCGCCATTGCACTCCAGCCTGGGTAACAAGAGCGAAACTCCGTCTCAAAAAAAAAAAAAAAGAAAACCCCATCAAATCAACATTGAATACCTTCAAAGTATGCTAGGAAACAATTTCATTAATTTTTTTTAAATTTCATTAATTTTTAAGCTGACAAATGAAGAATAAAATGTTTATCTTGCCTTCACTATGCAAAAAATAACCAAATAGTTGATATAGGAAATTTTTCTTTATAGAGAAATTCTAGCTAATAAATAAAGAATGAGGGATAGAGTTAGACTATCATCATTTGAATGACTGGATCCAGGCAGTGATCACTAGGAGTTGATAGCATCATCAAAAAGGAGGCAACCAGACATTATGTCCCTTCCAGGAGAAATACACAGCATCACCTGTGGGGTAGTCTTGCCAAAACGATAATAATTGAGACTAAATCTGATAAAGCCTCCTGTCTGACTACACATTTACAAGAAATATGAGACACAGAGAAATGTGTTAAATGGTACCACAGGGATGCAGTGGGCAAGATACAGACTGCAGGAAACGCTTCCTATCAAATGATTCAAGTGACTTCAACAAAAAAATTGCAAAGGGAGAAGAAAAAAAGAGATGAAAGAGGGATCAATAGTTTAAAAGAAATGAGACCAATCAAACAATCATGATGCATAAACATTGTTCTGATGTGGAATGAAATAAAGAAAATATAAAAACAATACCAAAAAAAGGCAATCATGGGTTATTTGATTACATTAAGGAATTATCGTTAATTTTTTGGGTTTGAAAGCGGTGGGACTTTTTTGAGATATTAATAGAGTCTGGAATTTGCCTCAAAATAATAAAGGTGTGGGGACTGAGTGGGGATATACATGAAATAAGATTGGCCATCTACTGATTATTGTTGAAGCTGGGTTATTGGTACATTTGGCTCCTTAAGCTAGGGTCTGTTATTTTTGCATATGTTTTAAAATTTTATCATTAAAAAGTGGAAAATAAAAGCAATCTATTTGAGGATGGGAGAGAAAAGACCAATATATCTGAAATAATTAGCAAATTGTGAATTATAGTTAGATGGTAGGACATACGGATAGGTTCAAATACAAAGCAAAACCTTACCCCCTAAATTATCTTTCAGAAAAGGAATTAAGTGGACTGAAATTCTAGTCCTTGTAAGTCTTTCTCATCATGGGCTCTGTCTCAATGACTTCATTTTGAACAACAAATTATTGATGGGGAACAACTATTAACCAGAAACCACTTCAATCAATACTAGCTTGACATGTTTATAGATATCAAGTGATAAAGTTGTTTCAAAAAGGAATGCAGAGGTTTAACAAAGATATAGTAATTATTCCAAAGGTTATAGCCTCTCAGTTAAAGATGTTGGCCGTATTACAAAGAAGATAGTTTAGGGCGGGCATGGTGGCTCACACCTGTAATCCCAGTACTTTGGGAGGCTGAGGCAGCAGATCATGAGGTCAGGACATTGAGACCATCCTGGCAAACATGGTGAAACGCTGTCTCTACTAAAAGTACAAAAAATTAGCTGGGCGTGGTGGCACAGGCTTGTAATCCCAGCTACTCGAGAGGCTGAGGCAGGAGAATAGCTTGAATCTGGGAGGCAGAGGTTGCAGTGAGCCAAGATGCACCACTGCACTCCAGCCTGGGTGACAGAGGGAGACTCTGTCTCAAAAAAAAAGAAGAGAGCTTAAAGCAAGATTTAAAAAAAAAAAAAAAAAAAAAAAAAAAAAAGGCAATTCCGTAATTACATTGAGGAAATCACAAGCATAAGCAAGTAGTCCTAATATGTGAATAGCTACCTGCAGCTTGGGATAAATTTTCTAGCAATAGTCAAATACAGGATTTCAAAAATGAAATCCTGCTAATCTGGAAGTAAAGAACTTAGCTGGAAGTGAAAATGACATCATCTGAACACTGCAGTTGATGACTCAAAATGTGGCCTAGTGACGACTGAGAACTTAAGTTGCAGCTAGGAGTTTTATTTAAACTGTCTCACCGAATGTGATAGAAGAACAAAAAGCAGTTTTTCTAAATCAAGATATGGTTTTATATCAATCGCTATGTTAAAAACATTTGTGTATTTAAATTAATATACTCGAGTTAATTTAAATTGTAATGGACATTTGCCTATTTCATCAACATGACTAAAAAGTTATAAAGTTAAACTGGCCAAATCTCTTTTTCTTTTGGTGGAGGCAGTTTCTCATAGAGAAATGGGTGATTGCTTCCCACCTGTGTTTGCCTGTATTCTGGCACGTATGGAAAATTAAGACTTCCTCAAACTCTGACAGCGCTTTTGGGTGCTCTTTGAGGAAGATGGGGTTTCCGCAGGCTCCTGCTCCTGACTCACCGCTGTTTGCTCTCACAGAGGAACAAGTCGGTCAGGAAGCCACGCAGCCGCCATGGCTTTTAAGGATATGGAAAAAACACCCGTGCAGCCGGAGGTGGCAAGTCACCGAGTTCGAATCACTGTAGCGACCCGCAAGGTAAAATCCCTCAAGGTGTGTGCTGACTTGATCAGAGGAGCACAGAAAAAGAATCTCAAAGTGAAAGGACCAGTTCGAATGCCTACCAGGACTCTGAGATTCACTACAAGAAAAACTCCTTGTGGTGAAGATTTTAAGACGTGGGATCGTTTCCAGATGAGAATCTACAAGCGACTCATTGACCTGCACGATCCTTCTGAGATTGTTGAGCAGATTACTTCCATCAGTATTGAGCCAGGAGTGGAGGTGGAAGTCACCATTGCACATGCATAAATCAACTATTTTAATAATTGACTACCAGTTGTTAAAAAAATAAAATAAAATAAAATAAAATGGATCCATGTAGGCAGCTGTAGTTAGGGAAGGCCTCATGAAAGAAGGTGGGATTAAAACGGGTAGAGTTTGCATTAGTAGGGTAGAAAGCTTTCCGAATGTGGAAAAAGACATGAATAAAGACATATTAACGAAAGAAAGCTTGACTTGGGTCTCTCCCCTAAATAATAGTTGGAGAAGAACCAGCTAGTTTGGCAAGAAGGCCCAACCAGAGGAAAATTAGAAACAGTTTATACACGTGGGGTGAGGCCAGCTCGTGGAAGACCCTGACAGTCAGCCAGAGGGCTTTGATAAATTCTGAGGATCTCTCTCAGAGAGAATGATTCTCAGATTATAGTCAGGGTTGCATTATGACTTTCACACGCTCTAGGCACTTTCACCTTCATGGGTCGGTTCCTTCCTTCCAAAAACATTTAAAATTTTACTTTATGACTATATCAGTATAAACTGAACGTAATCCAGATGGCTTTTATTATCATATTCATATTATTGTATTTATTTTTCTTCCAAGTTTAAAAGAAATTACAATTAAAACATTTTTATTGGTTCCCTGAAAGCATCATGAGTTTTAGGCACTATGCCTGACATGCCTAGTGAGAACTCCGCTCTAATCAGGGTTTGATAATTTGGGTCTTAAATATGTTAGACACTTTATGGTTAAGGCATCACTATGATCATTTTATATATGTAGACAAAACCATTTTTTTTTTTTTTTGGTATATGGAGAGATAGATCTCATCTGGATCACAAAATGCTTTTCTGTGGGCAAAGGTGGGCCAGGAGGAATGAGATTATTTGCTGGTCTGCCATCTGGCCTTGGCCATAAATACCCTCCAACTGCAAAGCAACTTAGTGGAAGAACATGGGGTGTCTAGAGGACTTATATCTGGGTCTCATTGTTGGGGAAACAGATTCCAGAATGCTAGAAATAAAATGATGGCAATCATAATGAAAGTTGGAGTTAGAAGGGAAAGTCAGACCACATCCTGAGAAATGATGCCAGGCTTCGGGGCTGGAGTGTACTACTGCCTTCAGATCAGATTCTTGGATCTGATGCTCATAATGTCCGTAAGAACTTCTACCACCACTTTCTTTTCCACCTGCCTTTTTTGTGCTAAGTATAACCAAGAAAAAAAGCCTTTTGTCCATTCCCAGATGAGGGTTTTAAAGTGGCAGCAGACAGAGAATCCCTTAGGGCTGGTATCATATTGGCAGCACAGATCATGACTAAAAAAAAAAAAAACTACACAGAGAATGGGGAGTTTGGGAGAAGGTTTGCCAGGTTTGCTTTTTTAGCAGACCTTTTCCGGCAGAGTCAAATAATCAATACTTCCCTACTGAATCCTTGGAGAGCCTTGAGTCTCTGCCTCTAAGGGACTTGGATTCCTTCTGAAACAATCAGAAGACTACTTAGAAAACATTTATCTTGTAACCAGTGGGATACACGAAGGGCTGGAAGGCAGAGACTCACCCTGAAGGGCCAAAAAGATGAGAATTGAGAGTAGGGTGGGGAGGAGACTGTTCTTGAAAAACGTATCCTGGGTCCTTGCTACTCAAACTATCTCTGGAGCAACAGGATTGACACCAGAATATAGATTTTATCAAAACCCCCAGGAGATTTGTCTATATAATTAAAATTTGAGAAGCACTGGGGCAGGATGTTAGCTGAGAGGCTGAGGAGGGCACAGCAGACTGGCAAGGCAGATCGAGGTCACAATTGGCAGGCCTTGGTATCCTGGTATTTTTGGAGATGGCGATGATACAAAGATGAGTCCAAGAATACAAATTTGGGAGACTTAAAGAATATAAGTAACGTCCAATACTCATTTACCTACACAGATAACTGATAGACTAATTAAAAATCATGGCTATTCATTAAGGCACTAGATTCACGGTCAAATGATATGTTTAGGTTGGGTACTGAGTTTGCAGTACCCATTAGCATGACATTTATGCGTTTAAAAACAACAAAATTGCCTTCTTCTGCCTAAGAAGTTAAACGCAGGCTGTACTTATATTCATTTCTCTCTTCATTATTATTATTATTATTTTGAGACCGAGTTTTGCTCTGTTGTCCAGGCTGGAGCACAATGGCACAATCTCAGCTCACTGCAAACTCCGCCTCCCAGGTTCAAGCTATTTTTCTGCCTCAGCCTTCTGAGTAGCTGTTACAGGTGCCCACCACCACACCCAGCTAATTTTTTTTTGTATTTTTAGTAGGGATGGGGGTTCACCATGTTGGCCTGCCTGCTCTTGAACTCCTGACCTCAGGTGATCCACTTACCTCTTCCTCCCAAAGTGCTGAGATTACAGGTGTGAGCCACCGTGCCCAGCCTCTCTCATTATTTAATCAATATTTCCTTTCTATGCATTTGTTATGTGACCTTGAATATTGCTAATTATTATTATTATTTTTGAGATGGAGTCTCGTCACCCAGGCTAGAGTGCCATGGCTCACTGCAACCTCTACCTCCCAGGTTCAAGTGATTCTCCTGCCTCAGCCTCCTAAGTGGCTGGAATTACAGGTGTGTGCCACCACGCCCAGCAAACTTTTGTGTTTTTAGTAGAGACAGGGTTTCTCCATGTTGGCCAGGCTGGTCTTGAATGCCTGACCTCAAGTGATCTGCCCACCTCAGCTTCCCAAAATGCGGGGATTACAGGCATGAGCCGCTGCACTTGGCCAAACATCGCTAACGGTTAGTGCCACAACACACAAGGTGCCAGCTTTCTCAGTGCTGTGTAACCTATTCAGTTAAAATTAGACAGCATGAGGGTTACACATGGGCTGTAAGCTTTTACTTAATTCAAGGAATTAGTGAAAATGGTCTGGCACCTTGGAGTTATAAAACGGATAGAACGCTTCCATGGGTCCCTGACTCATCATGCAGGAGTACTAACCCAAGTGATGCTGTGCTCTTGTATTGATTGAAAGAATTAAGAAAGGAGAAGAAAGGCATCGCATCTATAAGTGGAAACAGTACTTGCATGACATTCACGCACCACCTATTGTCTAAGGTCTGACAGTTTCAGTGACTCATCCAGATGTTTTGACTACATGATACCAGCCTCAGAGCTATTTGCCAACATTAGTATAATTGAATACCTCATTCCAGTTTTCATCTTCTCATTTTCTTTCACCATGTAGACACCATACTACTTCTTGTCCTCTCTGTCCCAGCTACAGAGGGGAGAAAGCACCAAGGCACACGCAATCCAGACTCTCGACCTCTCTGCAGCGTCTAGCTACTTCAAGTTAGGACTTCTAATTTGAACCAAGAAAAACAATGTTCTGTGAATCTTTTTCTCCCCGGAAAAAAAATGAGCAAATGAAGTTCTTTTCTGTTTACAGTGCGCCATAGCTAGGAGATGACAAAAGCTGCCTGTATTGCTTTTTGTTCGTTTTGTTTTTTGAGACAGAGTTTTGCTTTTGTTGCCCAGGCTGGAGTGCAATGGTGAGATCTCAGCTGACAGCAACCTCTGCTTCTCATCATCCACCACTACTCCCAGGTAATTTTGTATTTTTAGTAGAAGCGGGGTTTCTCCATGTTGGTCAGGCTGGCCTCAAACTCCTGACTTCAGGTGATCACCCACCTCGGCCTCTCAAGTGTTGGGATTATAGGCCTGTGCCACCGCGCCTGGCTGCGTTGTTTTTTATAATGTGAGATTTATTCCTCAAGAAAAAGAAGTCATTCAGATGAGTCTTGGTGCTCAAGATATTGAAATGTTCTGACTATTCTCTAATACAACAATAGTAAAGTGAATTCAACAGCCCGCTGCCCACTTTAAAACACTGGGGTACCTCTGTGCTTCCCAGATATTATTGTTTCCCATGGCAGGTTCCAAACTGGTAGTCTGAAGCCTAGCTCTGGTCTGCAGACATATTTTATTTGGACTCCACAGTGTTTTTACAAACTTTGAGCCAAAATGTAAAAATAGGGAGATTTCACACCAAAAAAACTCAGGGTTACTTGACTTTCATGAAAAATGAGAGTATGTGATAAGACTGGACTCTTGTGTGACATGGATCCTTCTTCTTATGATGGTGATCAACTGGAACTGGCTGGTGACTACCCTAGGATGTCACAGTCTTCATCACTCTCTACCATTTCCCTGACTCTGGGGCTGAGTGCCAGTTTTCATTTACTGATCTTTGTGCTTGCTATGTTATTTATCTAGAAATAGAGAAAGATTTATCTGAACCCATGTCGTTATCAAGAGAAAGATATCAGGCCAGGCACGATGACTCATGCCTGTAATCCCAGCACTTTGGGAGGCTGAGGTGGGTGGATCACTTGAGGTAAGGAGTTCAAGACCAACCTAGGCAACATGGCAAAACCTCGTCTCTGCTAAAAATCCAAAAATTAGTCGGGAGTGGTGATGCATGCCTGTAATCTCAGCTACTCAGGAGGCTGAGGCAGGACAATCACTTGAACTCAGGAGGCAGAGGTTGCAGTGAGCTGCAGTCATGCCACTGCATTCCCTCCTGAACCACAGAGTAAGACTGTCTTAAAAAAAAAAAGAGTAAGACAGTAAAAGATAAACTGAAAATTGTATTTCAAGGAAAATGAGAGCACACACATTTCTTCATGGACTTGAAAAATATTCCTGCATATTCAATACTTAAACTTTATGTGTTTGTTGGAAGATTGACTGTGTTGAAAGAGAATTTAAGGACCTGGGTACTGCCTAGATCCTGAGGTCAACTGAGTAAGTGACCCTTCTTCACCTCGCAGTATTGGAATGGAGTGCCTAAATTTTCAGTGAAGATAGAATGAAGATAAGTTTGCAAAACCACATGACATAGTGCATGAGACATCTGAACAGAAATGCACCTGGAACTGGAGAACCCAGAGTTGCGGTTTAGCTGGTGTCATATAGAAAGTGCCCTACAGTCGTCCTGTTTCTGCCTTTCTGAATGAGCACCTGCTCCAGCACAGACC